TCATGGGTCAAACAGGTACAATGCCAGGCATTGTAACCTTGAGGATAAAGACGTGACCCTGTGTGGCCTAGGTTCATCAGGACGGCTGTGGCTTTTACTCCATCCTGCCCTGGAGGAAGGGGGAGGATGGGGACGCCCTTGGTCAGAAGATCCATCTTGATGCAAACATCCGGCAGTCAGGAGGTTTCCTGCAAAAGCCTGGACCGTTTGGATGGTCCACCCTGTGGTGTGTCAGTGTATCTGTGTGTATCCGTGGGTGTGGCCTGAGTGTGTATATGAGGGTTTGTGTGCCTGCATGTGTGTGTGTTCCGGGGAAGAGTACTTTGCTTTCCGGGAAGAACCTTCTGACAGTGTCTTCCCGGAGATGCCCTGCAGGTTCTGTCAGTCACCTGCACCTTTGAATCTACAGAGCTGATTTGATTTTCTTGCTGGTGCAGTTGATGGAAGCAGAGCCCTGCTGTGGTGGCGGTGCACATTCCATTCTAGTACCCGGAAGGTGGCCCGGTAGGGTGAGGAGCTCAAAGTCACCCTCAGCTGCATACCGAGTTCAAGGCCACCTAGGCTAATGAGACCCTAGGGCGGGGACAAGCCTGGCTTGATGGCTCATACTTGTAACTCTAGCCTTCGGGGACTAAAGCAGGAGAATCAAGACTTGAAGTCCAGCCTGGGCTACATAGTGAGTTCATGCAACCTAGGCTTCTAGCTGAAACCTTATCTTAAAAAGAACTAAGAAATAGTAGATATACTTTCTACATAATTTTAGATTGCAATTTTTTTCCTGTGCCACTGAAATAATAATAGTGATTATTATTATTTAGATTGGATCTCATGCAGCCCAGGCTAGCCTCAAACTCCCTCTGTAGCTGAGGAAAACTTCCATATATTTGATACTCCTGCCTCTAGCTCCCCAGTGCTGGGATTAAAGGCCATTATCACCATGCTCAGTTGGAGGGGAAAAAAAATGGCTTTAACCCCAAATTATCATTCCTTTCGTAGAAACTTGGCTGACATCACTGTAGGAAAGGAGGACAAAGCCAGCCCATGAGGGAATTCCCTGAGAGAAATCTGATCTGAGCAGGGCTTTGCAACTTCCTCAAAGTCAAGAGAACATGCAGCAGGTGGGAGAGGAAAGGCCCCGGGACCTTCCTGCCTTGGAACCTCCCCTTGTGGCTGTCTGGGGCAGGTTTTTTCTCTCTTTGGTGTTAGGGTTTGAGCCTAGCACCTGTCAGGCACATACATACTCTTCCGCTGACCTCGGCCGTCCTTTAGCTTTTATTTTTCCTTTTTAAATTTTGTGTGTGGTGCCTGGCTTGGTGATACAAGCCTGTAATCCCAGCACCCTGGGAGGCAGAGGCAGGTCGGTGGATCTCTGTGAGTTTAGCTTGGTCTACAAAGTGAGTCCAGGACAGCCAAGGCTGCACAGAGAAACCCTATCTCCAACGCCCACCCCACCCCCAAAATGTGTTTGCATGTTTTACAGGTGTGGGGGTGCACCTTGTTTATTGACACAGGGTCTTTTTGTTTGTCTGCTTGGTTGGTTTCGGTTTTATGAGACAGGGTTCCTCTTGTGGTCCTGGCTCTCCTAGAACTCACTCCCTAGACCAGGCTGACCTTGAACTCAGAGATTCTCCAGGCTCTGCCTGGTTGGGATTAAAGGCGTGGCCCCCCACTTCCCCGAGGCAGGGTCTCTTGGGGAAGGCTTTCGGATGTTTCAACTGGCCCTGTGCTTTTGTGCGCTGGAATTACAGGCAGGCCGCCGAGCCCGCTCAGTGTTTACATGGGTCTCTGGGGGTTCTAAACACCACTGAGCCATCTCCCTAGACCATGCCTCACCATCTTGCCTCAACTGACCGTGTGTGTGTGTGTGTGTGTGTGTGTGTGTGTGTGTTACCCATGGGTGCCAGGAGATCCCCTGGAGCTGGAGTTACAGTGAGCCTGGGGGGGGGGGGTACTGGGAACTGAATTCAAGACCCCTGGAAGAACAGCAAGTACTCAACCATTGAGCTGGGCAGCCTAGACTGAAAAAGAAACTTTTTGTTTTTGTTTTTTTGAAACCTAGTTTTTGCACATAGTCGTGGCTGTCCTGGTGAGTTCACTATGTTCACCAGACTGGCCTAGAACCCGAGGAAATCTACCTTGATCAGCCTTGTGTGCCGTCATGTCCAACTGGACTGAAAAAGTTTTTGTTTGTTGTTTTTCAAGACAAGGTTTCTCTGTGTAGCCCTGGCTGTCCTGGACTCACTGTGTAGACCAGGCTGGCCTGGAACTCTCAGAGAGCCACCTGCTTCTGCCTCCCAAGTGCTGGTATCAAAGGCATGGGCCACCACTGCCAGCTTGATTTTAAATATCAAGTTTAGACCAGGAAAAGATGGCCATAATTTTAAACTTTTTAACATTTACTTTTATTTGTATGGATATTTCATCTGCATGTGTGTCTGTGTACCACATTTGTGCCTGGAGATCAGAAAAGAGCATCAGATCCCCCTGGGACTGGAGTTGCTGACAGTAGTGGGCTGGGAATCAGACTCGGCTGCCCAGCCATCTCTCCACCCCATAATCTCTTTAATGTCTCAGACAGAAATGTCTGAGGTGACTTTGGTGAGAAGCTGCAGCCCTAACCACTATGCTCCGGTGCTAATAAACGGCGGGCTTCGCTGTCTCCAGCACAGGGCGGCTCCTCTTGATTAGCCTTGAACCCAGAGCAGTACCGAGGGGCAGCCCTGCCTGGTCTGGAGCCAACGCGCAGAAGGCAGGGGCTGAGAGACATAGAAAGGGTTCCTTTCCCAGGACCTGCTCCATTAAGAGAAAGTCACCAGACCTGTCTAGTAGAAAGAAACCGGGTCACCTGCTGAGCTGAGGGGAGTAGCCTGCCGGAGCCCAGAGACTCCGCGACTTTGGAGCCTTGAAATCCTACACATCGCCAGGAAATGAGAAAACACGGGACCCTGAGGAGTTAGGGGCATAACAAGAGGGAAGTATCACAAGCAAGGGTGGCCTAGCTTGAACCCAGTGGGTCTGGGCTCAATTCTCCTAACCCTTCTAGAAAGAGTTCTCTTGCTGCCAAGCCAGCCTTGTTTGTTTGCTTGTTTGTTTTTTGAGACAGGCTTTCTCTGTGTAGCCTTGGCTGTCCTAGACTCTGTAGACCAGGCTGGACTAGAACTCACAGAGATACATCTGTCTCTGCCTCCTTGAGTACCGGGATTCCAGGCGTGCACCACCGAGCCAGGCTCAAGCCAGCCTTTTCGGGAGGCCTAGTGAGCACCCAGGTCAACTTTGGCAGTGACTGGGCCCTGATGCTTATTCTGTTTTGGACTCAGAAATACTAGGTAAATCCCAGAGGGACTGACAGTATCGTTTTGGACACCCTTCCATCCCCTCTTCACCCCCCGCTTAATTTTCTTGGTTGACTTCTTTTCTTTAGCAATGGGACATTAGATAAGCTGAGCCACACACACTCCAGCTCCTGGAAGGATCCACCGGACCCCAAAGTGCTCGGATTAATGGCACGGGGCCACCATGCCCTGCCTAGGAGGGAACTTTTTCATTTCTCCCTGACCCTTCTCAAAGGAGGCCCCAAAGGTTAAGAGGCTCGGGCATGGCAGCCTAAGCCTTGCACCCAAGCAGGGCTCCACTTTTTACTCTAACTGGAGAGCCTTCAGCGACACAGAAGGGAAACTGAGGCCCAGGGATGGCTTTCCCAGGCTTCAAAGTCAGTCAGGGGCATGACATAACCCACGCCTGCTGGCGACCGGCGCTGGTCTGCCGCTGACACCCCAGAGAGGAGCGTCCTGGCTCCTTTCCAGCCGATTTAGCCGCCGGCCTGGCCCAGACACCGCCAGGTGAGCCGATGACTCAAAGGGCGGAGACTAAATTTTGCGCACGGCCCCGCCCTGTCCCGCTGCTCCCGGGGGCGGGGGACCAGCTCCCGGGTCGGGCGGGTGGCAACTTGTCGGAGTGAAACCGGGAAGGCGCCGCCCCGCTGGCGCTCCACGGGCGGCGGGGTCGCAGCTTCGTCTTTTGGAGAAGGGAAGCGGGGCCCGCGGGGCGGGAGGGGAGGCGGGGACACTCGCCCTCCGCTCTCCCATTGGCCAGCCGGCTTCCGGGGGGCGGGCTCTGTGGAGAAGCCGTCCTGTGATTGGGCCGTGCGGGCGGCCGGCCCTGGCGCTCCGCGGGCTGGGGCGTGCCGCTGCCTGCCGGCTCCGCGGCTGCTCCAGCCCGACGTTCCGCCGCCCTTCCCACCCAGCTCGCGCCCGCTCCTCGCCAGTGGGTTTTTTGTCCGCACCGAGGCTCGCTGGGCCTTGGGCAGCTTTTCCTTATCAGATCTGCTCTTTGTTTTATGGAGGTGCTACGCCCCTGCCTCGGATCGTGCCCCCCTCGGCTCGGATCCGAGCACTTGATGCGACCCTTTACCGCTTTCTCGTCTGAGGTGCACAGTGCCGCTCCTGAACCGCGTCTCTAAGGCCGCTGTGCTCAAACTTCAGCGGCTCCGTGGATCCCGCCACATCTGAGCTTGGCGGGTCCCCGGCCCACGCTCACCTCTCCCGGGCTGCCTTTGTGCTCACCTGGCCTGAGCCTAAGCGCTGTGGGGGCTTCCTGAGGGCCTCTCACCTGAAGTCACCCGACCCAGAATTTCCAGGTCACCGACACCAACCCAAAGGCTCTTCTCACTTCCAGGTCACCCAGACAGCCCCAAGGGACAAGTCTTAACTCAGAGTTCCAGAGTCAGGCTCTCTTAGCTCACTTTCAGTTCTACTCCCAGCCCAGGGCCAATGACTGAAGAAGACAGAGTGTCACAGGGCAACTTTATTGAGCGGAAACGTGGTCACACCCAGCGAACGTGTTCCCTCTCATTCTCTCTCACACACAGTCGCGCACACACACACACACCCCGGCCCTTGCCATAGTCCAGTTCTCAGCCACAGGGGTGGGAGCCTCCTTGGTTCCTGGGATCCAGAAGCAACAGGTGCAAGAGGGAGGGAGGGAGGGAGGGAGGGAGGGGGGGGGGGGGGGAGGGGGGGGGGGGCACAGGTTCAGGTGTGATGTAAGGAAGTGGGCGCACAGAGAGCAAGGTGGGCAGGGTTAGGCACACCCACCAGACGGCTGCATGGAGAGTGGGATTTCCCCAGCCCCTGGTGGCCTCAGCGGGGCCGCACCCCTTCCAGGGAGCCTTCCGGGGTGTAGCTGGACATTCAGGGTTTGGGAAGGGCAGAGTCCCACTCCGCATTAGTCCTCTCTGCAGGCCGGGCGCTGGAGGGCAAGGCAGGGCAGGGAGGCAGGAGGCCGCTTCAGCTCTGGGGCTCCTCCGGGGCCTCGCCACCCTCTTCCCCCGCGTTGTCGGCTGTCCACAGTGTCAGGTTGTCTCTCAGCAGCTGCATGATGAGGGTGCTGTCCTTGTAGGAGTCCTCGCTGAGGGTGTGCAGGTCGGCCATGGCCTCGTCGAAGGTGGTCTTGGCCAGTGAGATGGCCTCCTCCGGGCTGTTGGCTATCTCGTAGTGGAAGACGGAAAAGTTCAGGGCCAGGCCCAGGCGGATGGGGTTGGTGGGCGGCATCTCCTTCTTGCTGATGTCCATGGCCTCCTGGTAGGCGGACCGGGCGGAGTCGATGATGCGCTTCTTGTCCTCCCCGGTGGCCACCTCGGCTAGGTAGCGGTAGTAGTCTCCCTTCATCTTCAGGTAGAAGACGCGGCTCTCTGCGTCCCCAGCCTCCTTGATGAGGTGGGAGTCCAGCAGGCCCAGCACGGTGTCGCACACGCCCCGGAGCTCCGTCTCCACCTTCTCCCGGTACTCCTTCACCTCGGGCCCCTTTTCTTCTGAGCCCTCCTCGCTGCTCTTCTGCTCGATGCTGGACAGGACCCTCCAGGCCGCTCTCTGGCCGCCCACCACGTTCTTATAGGCCACAGAGAGCAGGTTGCGCTCCTCGCAGGAGAGCTCCTCACCTTTTTCCACCGCACCCTTCATGAAGGCTGCCATGTCCTCGTAGCGTTCGGCCTGCTCGGCCAACTTGGCCTTCTGGATCAGACTGGCTCTCTCCATGACTCCGAGGACAGACAGGCGGGCGAACTGGCTGCCTTGAGACCAACGCTGGGTTCTGTGGCTCCCCCTGCTCGGCGTCTGCCTTTTGGCTGGGGTGGCATGGCCCTGAGAGAGGATTGGGAGTGGCCTGGGCGGGCCTGGCCCCTGGGCCCTGCCCCCTCCTCTTCTCCCACACCCTTTCCGGCTCTTCCTTAAAGGTAAAAGGGCTGGGATGTAGGGGGTTGAGTCATCAGGATAAGTCAGCTTGAAAGAAACCTGGCCGCGGGTCCCACCTGCACAGGTACCTTTCAGGCTCCCCAGCGCCCCCTGCTGTTCAGGCTTGCTCTGCAGGAGCGTTTTGGGTAACCAAATCGGATTGTCTTTCCTGCTAGCCTTCCGGAGCTGGGGACGGCTTCAGCCACTGGGCTCCTTTAGGCTAGGCAGAGCCCAGAGGGCTGGCACGGAGGGCTGTGTGTAAGGTAGGGTTGTACACTTTGCCAGACACTCTAGCATCCACGATCTGATGCAACCCCCTTGATGGCTCTGTAGGCTGTAGAGGTGGGAACGTCAAGTCTCAAGGGGTGAAACTAATTGAGGTCACGAGCTGCCAGCTCCCTAAAACCCCTCCTCTTCCGTGGGCCCCGTTCCTTTGGCTTTTTGGGGGGCGGGAGCCATTATCTGGACGTGAGAGCTAGACTTCTTTCCGGGTCGGCCTGAAGACAGCTCCATCCATCCCTTGGTTCCCTTTCTCCCTCAAGGTCCCCCTCTGAGCTCCTGGGGTGCGCAGGTGGCGTTTAACAAGCGGCCTCTGACGCTCCAGCACGGCCTTTGTAATTAGTCACCCAGTAGGTTTGTTGGCCACCTTCCCCATTACAGCACAATTTTCCCTTTCAAGTTGGTGGCCTGTTGCCACTTGTCTGAGACTTTACTCTCCGGTTCTTCACATCAGGTCACCTGTCCCCTCCAAGCTGTATCAGCAGGGCTCACCACCGAGGGCGGGGCCCAGCCCTCTGACTGCCCCACTCCCCTGCCTGACTCACATGGCCTGTGAGAGGCTGGGAAGCAGGGCACCTGGGTGCTCAGGTCAGTTTGGTCCCCCAGGGGGGACGCCACCAACCCGGGGAGGAAGATGGGGCTGAAAGAAAGGAGCTGGTAAGGGCACAGACCATTTTGTTTTATAGAGCAGCAAGTCCAGCTCCGTGAGATCTCCGACTCGGCTCCCAGAGGTTCCCCAGGTTCTCCAGGCCTTTCTTGTTGATCCAGGCTTTGCCTCTGACCCCTGAGAGAAGCATCTTCAGAGATGGAGACCATATTGTTCCCAACCTTCTGTCCCTTCTTCACTGGGCCCTGTTTTCAAGCCCCATCCTTATCCACCCCCAAAGCTCGGATGAATATTCTCCCAGATAGGCATGGTGGCACATGCCTGTAATCACAGAACTCCAGGAGACAGAGGCAGGCAAATCTCTGAGTTTGAGGCCAGCCTGGTCCAAAAAGTGAGTCCAGGACAGTCAGGACTACACAGAGAAACCCCGACACCCCCCCCCCCCCCGGAAAAAAAAATCATCTTCCTGGGATGCAGCCCATCTAATCCTTGAGGCAGCTCTATTCCATAGCCTGCCTGTCTCCTCCGAGTGTGTGAACACTCGCCTTGCCTCCTGGAGAGAGACGGAGGCCAGAACTCTGAAGACAGGATGTCATGTGCTTGTGCCACAAGAGCAGGGGCTCTGAGAGACTGCAGGGCCCTGGCCAGTTCTATGGGGTTTCCCTGGGTGCTTTGCTTAACTCGAGGCATGGACACAGAGAAGGGTGGGAAAACTACACTAAAGCATAAGTTAGGGAAGGGCATGGTGCGCATGCCTAGAGGGTCAGCGCTGGGGCTCACACGGCAAGTGTTCCAGCTGGTGGCCACCTTCCCTGCGAAGAGACATGAACAACCAGAGAGAGAGAGAGAGAAAGAGACTGAGGCAGGCTGGGAGAGTAACTCCTCATCCATGTATGTAGTTTGAACCCCAGTACTGCACAGACTGGGGCACACCTGTAAATCTCAACATTTAAGAAGCACCCCCTCCCTGTTTCTGTTCATCGGAGCTGGGTTCTATAGGACGAGGAAAGATCATAGACTACCCCCACCCTGTGGCCCAGGCAGGTGTCCAGAGAAGGGGTCCTCTGGCCAAACTCTTCCTCTCCAGACTGCCAGACTGTTAGGTGCAGTTGGCCCTGACTCCGCCCTTCCATCTGGAACATTCCTCTCAGCCCTCAGGGGCCTTCCTTGGTACCAGTCATCTAGCCTGGGCTTCCCCAAGTCCTGGGGGCGACTTGGAGATCCCAGGACACTAGGAACCTAGATGGTGGGGCCTGGCAAAACTGAGGTTTCTTCTAAGTCCAAGAAGAGGAGTGTCTCCTCATGCCTCTCAAGCCAGGAACCCGGTGGGCTTTACAGCCAGGTCCTAGACTCTCAACAGGCCTCTTGTTCCTCCTTCGCTGAAGCCAGGCTGCTCCACACTCCTGCCGGCTCTGGCCTGTAGATCCTGACTCAGTTCCTGTTACCTCCTTTTGCCTCCAGGCTTCTACTTCTCAGGTCCAGGAGCCCAGGCAGGCAGGAGACAGCAGGCCCTGGCAGAGCATGGGACTCCAAAGCTGCTGCCTGAGTCAGCAGGACAGGAGATAGGGCCGCAGTCCTGGGGGCTTTCCTCACCCTGCTCCCCACTGGCCACCTTTCTGGAGCTTCTGATTGCAGCAAGAGGGGTTCTTATTAGTTAAAAAGAATCTACCACAACTGGCAAAACCTTTCCTTTTTTAGTAATTTCCTAGGTAATTGCTGTCTTTGGAATGATCAAACTCAACAGTTTGACCGGGGGTGGGTGGGGGGGTGTTTGTGGTTGGTTGTAAGAATCCTGTTCTCTAGTCCAGAGCTGTTGGGGAGGGGACAGCAGAGGATGTGTAGGTGATTCAGCCATTTGCCCTTTTCTTCTAAAATTCTGCTGCGTGAAAGAGGCCCCCTCTGCTACGCCAGTCTAGGGTACCAGACGGTGTGGAATTTATGGAAACAGAACGGAATGAGGTCAGCGCGCAGGACTGCATTCCAGTTGGGTTATAAGAGGCCTTGGGCACGTCCCTTCCTGCCGCTGGCTTGGGCCTCCTCATTGGTAACAAGAGGTTGGCAGCCCCTTCCTGGGTATGGCATTCTCCAAGTTCAGAGCTTCTCCAAGGCCCTCCCCTCCCCTGCTGGGGTAGGAGGCAGATGATCTCACGCCCCCACAGCAGGCATCCCAGGCAGGACCCCAAAAGAAAGTGGCACACGATGACAAGAAGGGGGCATCTTTATTTCCATTACAAAAGGTGGTGGAGAGCAGCTACGTGGGCACAGCTCATCTTCCCAGGTCTGGCCTGGTTCCCTTTGGGTCACTGGAAGAACATGGAACTGGGTAGGCCTTGGTGCCTGGGGCCAAGGATACAGGCTCACACTTCATATCCTACCAGGGGGATGGGGGCGTGGGAACAGTGTGGAGCCCGCTGTGCTTAGAACAGTCACCAAACTTGTTCAGCAGCGTCACCAACACCCAGATAGCTCCTGAAGAAACCTGCTTGGCTTGCCTATGGCTCTGCTGACTTGGGGGTGTGTGTCGGGGGGAGGCTGTAAGGCAGGATTCCTGAAGAGTCTTGACACTTCACAAATCTGGGGAAGGGGCATGAGGGGAAGGGGGGAGGACGAGGTTCAGCAGTGTTACAGTATTGTGCTGAGGCTGCGGTATGGCTTTCTATAGTCTGGCCAGCAAGGAATTGGGGTGGGGCCAAGAGGCCAGTGCTTGCCCACTGTTGGGGGAGGGGAGCTCGCCAGGGGACAGACCCTGTAGGCACAGATGGTGGCAGGTGGGCCACAGGTTAGGCAGGTGGAGGTGCCGGGTGCCTGGCTCGACCCAGGCCACTCCTGGAGAGGCAGAGAGTGGCGGTCCTCAGGAGCTCCTTAAGCCCCCGCACATACTGGATGATCCCGGCAAGTTGGCAAAGGAGGAGAAGAGAGAGGGTTAGCGGATAAATGGATGAGAAGGGGTAGCCTGTACGGCCCCACACGGGGTCAAGGACTACCTTAGTACCTGCCTCTCTCCCAGAAAAGGGCCAAAGCTCAGGCAGCAGGCAACAGGCAGGCAAGAGCTCAGGCAGGGGCGCGAAGCGGGGGGGGGGGGGGGGGGGGGGGGGGGGGGGGGGGGGCGGCAGAGGTGTTAGTGACCTGACCGAGGGCTCTGCACACCAGTACCCAGGCCCCTCAGAGCAGGCGGGTCACCCTCCCAACCACACTCCTCTTCTGAAAGGACAGGTGCTCTAAAGAAACCTCGCCCCCAGGAGGGAGCGGGGCAGGAGTAAGAGCCTCTGCTTGTGGGGGAACCCTGGGGACCTGCCACTGCCAGCACACAGGCCACACCACACACCAGACAGATGGATGGGCTCCGTGGGGTGGGTGAGGCATGCGGTGGCGATGAGGTGACGAGAGGTCGGCGCTGGCTGAGAGGCGAGGCACGGTCTTACCAGCTAACCCTCTGTAGAGAGGCCTCTTAGCGCCCCTCAGGCTGTGCAGGAGATGGCAAAGTCCTGACAAGTGTCCTCCTGGGGGAGATACCAGAGAGGTGGGCCCATGTTATGATCTGTCTGTCCTGGCCGCCTGGGAGGTTGGGTTAGGGACAGGAACAGGACACTCCAGCTGGGACCTACTGTCTCCCATATGCTGAGCAACCACTAGGGATCTGGGAGGAAAGTCAGCCGGAAAGAACCTGGGAGGCACCAAGTCCTGGAGCCCCAAGAAGGCAGACAGAGCAAAGGCAGAGAGGTGGTGCAGCCACAGCCCTTCTGCGGAGTTCCCACCAGTTGCTGGGCCACCCGCCCGCCTGTTCGCTGACTCCCAGGAAAGACCCACGTCTGTCTGCAAGAACCCAAGGCTGTACTGCAAGCCAGGGACTCAGCAGAACAAAAGCAAACAAAAACTAAACCAAAGCAAATCAGCTCTTAGGAACAGAAGTTTTATTACAAGCAGGGACAAAGAAAACTGGCTTAAACAAAAGGCAGGTTAGGGAACCCCTCCTCCAGCCCCCGCCCTATCTACCACCGGGCCACTCAGGTTGGCTTAGGGGTCTGAAGCTGTTTTTCCCGGGGGAACTTTGGTGCCCACCACTTCCCAGTTATGTCTGGGACCCACTGGCCTTGGGAGCAAGGAAGGGACCTCTTAGTGATGTCCTATGTTATGATCCAAGGGCTTTAGTCCACCTGAAGGGCCAAGGAGGGGGCCTGGGAGAACAAGTTTCTATTTTGATTAGAATCTACAGCTCCCAGCAGAAGGAAGAAATGCTATGAGCTCCTGGCCAAGCCACATAGGCATCCTGGCCTACTCTGCCCTTTCCTTCATTCTCCCAGTCCCTAGCGCTAGGGCCTACACTCACAGCAGAATTCCTAGGAGGGGGTGTGGCTTACAGAAAGGCTCGGGTGCTCCTGAGCCCCCACCCCACCCACCACACCTGGCCTCGGCCTGTTAGGGCAGGTCACAGCTGGGAGCCTGGGTGGCAGGGCCCCAGCCACTGTTGTCTAAAGGCTGCGGTGTAAGGAAGAAGGCCGAGGGGTCTCCATGACTGATGCACATCCTCTAGTCCCCAGGCCTCAGGCTGCTTCTGAACCCAGGGAAATGGGGAAAGGGAGTAGCCCAGGGGACATGGGAGTCAGCTGTATTTGGCCACACATGAACACACGTGCGCATGCGCAAACACATCCAACCGCTCCCAGCTGGCTCTGCTGTAGCGTGTTAAACTACCTAGCCTCCTGGAAACCCTTGGCATGGCACTACACAGAGAGTAACACACTGACTTCTGTTTTAAAAAGGCTATGTAAAAAAGAGGTCTATAAAACTGTGCAAAATACCCAGCATTAATGAACCCGTTTCAAGTATTGCCAGCATGAGCTAACCCGCCCATCTCTAGCCCTGACTTGGAAGAGGGACCAGAGTGGGGAGTCACAGGAAAGGATCCTCCAGAGTCCCCACCAGCAGGGGAAAGTCCTCATCCTACGGTGCTGCCCTCGCCTCTACAGGAGCTGAGGTTACTCGGGCCTGGATGGCTCGTTTGGCTCCCTCTGACACAGGCCTCCCGCCCTCTGCCCATGCTCTCTCTACCAGTACCCCGGCCCTATCCTATTGGCCAATTCCAGATAACCTCCCTGCCCCCACAAAAAACCAAAAACCCAAAACAACCCAATGATCACCACAAAGAGAAAGCAGGAGCCCCAAACCAAAGCCGTCCAAGGAAGGGTCCTCGCCTGGCACCCGAGGTTCAGAGCCAGGGCCCAGCAGTCCTGCCTCCAGAAGCCCCTGGCTCAGCAAGGTCCAAGCAGGTCTCCAGCTGGGAGGCTGCCCACTCAGTTCACACCCTCGCTCACACCGGGCCTCCCTGGGCACAGGCAGTGATTTGGCATGGTCCCCTCGGTGGCCTCCAGAGGCTGTGGCTCTCCTCTCTTGCCACTGATCAGCTGGGAGAACTAGGGCCCAAACTTCGGGAACCTAGGTTTTGGGGGGCAGAGGTCACAGCTATGGGACCGTTCAGAGGAAGCCACGCAGGGCGGGAAATAAATACGAAAAGACTCAAGTCCTTGGCAGCTCTGCTTCCCTCGGGTGGCATGGGTAGGGCCCCGGCAGTGGAGGGCAGCAGGTGGCAAGCAGTGAGTCTCATTCATGGGTGGCCCCCTACCATGCTGGCGTCTGGCTTGGCTCCACGGGCTGGCTCGTCACTTCTGATGGGCGAGGGCAACACGGCGTCAGACTGCACGAAACCCCGCCGGTCGATTAGGCTTCCAAGATATAAGGACAGGACATATCAGAGCTCCGGGCCAAGGGCCAGGCAGTATTACCTCCGCCCCTCAGGAAAGCTTTAGCCCTAGAGAAGCTGGGCAAACGGAAGCCGCTTTCCATCGGGGAGTTTTAAGACTCCCCCTCTGGGGCTGCTGAGGCAGTCTAGTGCCGACAGTGCTTGCCACCGAATCTGATGACCCTCCAGAGGGGTGATAGGAACACCACGGCATGTAGAGTCACACACACTCACTCCACTATACATACAGACAAGTGGATAAATGTAAATACATTTAGAAGAAAACCGTCTGGAGGCAAGCGCCACCATGACGGGATCTTTTTTTTTTTTCTTTTAAATGAGACAGGATCTCAAGCAGCCTTGCTACTTGAGGATGACCTTGAACTTCTGACAGGTCTGCTTCTAACTTCTAAGCTTATTCATTGTTAATTCAAACTGACTCAGCTGTCTGGGTGCCAAGAGGCCAGGCTGCAAGTGAGAGAAAAGTGAGGAACGATGGCTCTGTGGCGGCAGCAAGCTGCCTACCATCCTGTCTCCCTAGGCAAGACACAACTATGTGGGGAGGTCTCCTCTCTGCAGCACCCACGGCCATCCCACGCCTGCTCTGAGGCTCTGGCGCCCCCTGCTGTCAGGAGCCACACTGAGCTTCCCGGTAAGGCTGAGCCACGGAAGTTCCAGGGGAGGGTGGCGATCCCACCCTGTCCAGGCGGAGCCGGTCACCCAGGCGTGGTCCTAACAGTCATAGTGGACCTCTGAGGGCAGGGTTTACACAGCATCCCCAGGGCTCATTAGCATGTACCCTAGAGTGGCGCTGAACACGAGCAGGCCTCCTGCTTCAGCTTTCAAGCACTGGGGTTACAGTACAACCACACCTGCTTGCCTGATTGCAGCCTACAGGTAAGTACACGTGGTTAAAGCTGCCAGCCTTCCTCAGAATTTCTCTGAGGCGCCCAGCGGAGTGGACGTTGGTGGACAGAGGGAGTCCGTGTATGTGCAGGGAGAAAGGCCTGCTAAGGTCCGGAAACCCCACGAGGGGCCCGGACTCAGGGGCTCTTCTTACCTGGGAGGTAGGGGGCTGCAGAGCACAGCACAGCAGTTGGTGATAATACTTTTATGGCTGTAGGGGTTGACGGAGGCCTCACCGCCCCTCTTGCTGGACCAAGACCCTTTGATCTGGGAAGAGGAAGAAGCCTGGGTCAGCTACCTCCCTCCCACAGTGTTGGGGATTAAACTGAGGTAAGCATCTACCATTGAGCTCCATCTCCAGCCCCTTCTCTCATCCCCTCCACTACTCCCTGTCACAGCTGCCTCCTGTTGCTTTTAAGGTCAACACAGGCCAGGGAAAGGAGGCCCCTTTAGAAACCAGTTCTTTGTGGGCTACTGGAGGGGGGAGCATGTCTTCAGTGGAGGCCTTCCGGTGAAGGCATGGGAGCTCTCTCCAGCAGAGATCAGAAGGCCCAGCGAGCAGAGAAGACAAAACCAAGAGGAAGTCTCCAGAGGAGGTTAGGGTAGACCATCCCTCCCCTGGCTTTCCATCAGCTCCACACAAGCTAGAGTTGTCTGGAAAGAGGAAACCTCAACTGAGAACACGCCTCAGAAGATCCGGCTGTAAGCAAGCCTTTAGGATATTTTCTTAGTGATTGACGGAGGAGGGCCCAGCCCACTGTGGGTGAGGTCATCCCTGGGCTGGCAATCCTGGGTTCTATAAGGAAGCCAACTGAGAGAGCCATGGGGGAGCAAGCCAGTAAGCAGCACCCTCCTTGGCCTCTGCCTCAGCTCCTGCCCCTAGGTTCCTGCCCTGTTTAAGTTCCAGCCCTGACTTCCTTCAATGACAGGTGAAAATATGGAAGTGTAAACCAAACAAACCCTTCCTTTCCCAACCTGCCTTTCGTTGTGGTGTTATGTGACAGCAAAAGGAACCCTACCTAGGACACCAACTAAGGGGGGGGGGATTGAGGGGAAGCAGGCTGAGCCACTCTGACCCTGCCACTCAACTGCCTGACCTTGGTCAGGGTCCTTTCTGGGTGGTAAGATTCTCAGAAACACTGAGAGGCTGCCTCTGGGGAGTGCCCTGCTGAAGGCACCGAGGGCCTTGGCAGGAAAGACCCACTGGACCATCACCCAGACCTCTCCACGCTGGCTGGGCTGCAGCACCCCTTTCTGCTCCTGCAGAGCCAGCACTCAGGAAACCCTGGTGAGGTGTTTGCTGCATTTCTGCCTTTACCAATGAGCAGCTCATGTGTGCTTATTTTTGTTTTCCCAAATAGAGAGGTCCTTTTTTTTTTTTCTTTTCTTTTGAGACAGGATTTCTCTGTGTAGCCTTGGCTGTCCTGGAATGCTATAGACCATGCTAACCTCAAACTCACAGAGATCCACCTGCCTCTGTCTCCTGAGTGCTGGCAATTAAAGGCACGCACTACCACTGCCGGGCTGGGATTGTTTTTTTTCTCCCCCCCTGTGTAACCCTGGCTGTCCTAGACTCCCTTTGTAGACCACGCTGGCCTCAAACTCAGAGATTCCCTTGCCTCTGTCTGCCAGAGTGCTAGGATGACAGGCGTGCACCACTGCGCCCAGCTTGGGATTTTTATTTTTTAAGATAAGGTCGTGTGTCTAGGGGAACCTCCAACTTCTATGTAGCAAGGGTTAACCTTGCATTCCTGCTCCTCCGGCCTCTACTTTTCAAGTGTTGTATCACTACTTTTGGAGGTGGCTTCCTTCTTCTCATTCTTCTTGTTTTTGTTTGGTTGGCTGCCCTGGATTCAATTTATAGACCAGGCCGGCCTAGAACTCACAGAGATCTGCCCGCCTCTGCCTCCCAGAGTGCTGGGATTACAGGCGTGCGCCACCACACCTGGCTCTTTTTTCTTTTTTAAAAAACAATCTTCACATATATATATATATATATATATATATATATATATATATATATGACCTTTATTTACTTTTATGTGTATGGGTGTCTTGCTTGCATGTATGTCTGTCTATGATGTGTGTGCTGTACCAGAGGAGGCCAGATGAGGGCACTGGATTACATAACTAGAGTTAAACAACAGCTACACACTGGAGTTCTGAGCGGCCACCTGGGTTGCCATGAATCAAACCTGGGTCCTCCAGAAGAGCAGCCTGTGCTCTTCACGGCCGAGCCGTCTCTCCAGCCCCCCCTCCTCCACTGGACACTGACACTGAGGGCAGGGCCTCGGACACGCTGCCGAGTGTGCTCATTATAGATGGTTGGGAGCCACCATCTATAATGGTGGGTGCTGGGGCTTGAACTCAGGACCGCTGGATGAGCAAGAAGTGCTCTTAACCTCTGAGCCATCTCTCCAGCCCTATCATGCCCAGTCTGGAAAGGGTTCTTTTGAATGGTGGGTCTCTGGTCACCATTAGGCAGCAACCCTGGGAACACACTTATGGGTTGAAGGACAGTGAGGGGAAGTCTCAAGGGCCTGGGGACAGTGGTGCTTAGATAACGCTAGCTGGTTGATGGCTTACAAGCGAGTAGGGGGAAGGGTCAAAGGAGCCAAACTATTCTGGGCTAACCCTGCCTCTCACAGCACGCACCCTGACCTCTGCTGCCTGCCGGTGTGGAGTGGCAGATGGGAAGGCATGGCCATACCTTCTGGGCATCGATCCTGGACTGGCCCTTCCCAGCACTGTGACCCCAGCCCACAGCTCTCGTCATGCCTCGGACACAGCATTCGGGTTCTGTCACAGCAGGATGCAATGCTCCAAGAGTCTCAGGGCACTCAAAGATCCTTACATGGCAAGGCGCTGGCACACAAGCCTGGGGTGCTCACTGCCACCGTGGACTTGTGAGAAAGGTAACTTGGGTGGGACACCAAGGACCTGCAGAGCCAGGTCTGACACTAGGCTTCCGCCCCAGAATCCCCAGGAGGCTGCACTTGGCCACCCCAGCCCTGCCCCAGCTTTACTCACATCTTCATTAGTGGTCAGATTGGAGGCGACGAGGTAAGTGTGGAACCCTGAGAGGCCCAGGATGGACCAGATTGAGAAGAAGCAGATGACCAACTCCAGCACGGTGGGGCTGTCAAGGACCCGTGCGACAAGGGTGGAGGCCCTCGGCCTGTGCCCAGCCTCTCTCCCTCACACTTCCCTGGAGTTCTATCCCTGAAGAGTGACAGGCTCTGGGGGCGTCCTGTGCTCCCGTCATCACTTCTCAGCAAGTCACCCTCTGTACCCCCAGGAGGGGACGGGAGCTCCTGAGGAACGAGTCAGGATCAGGGCTGGGGATGGCAGAGGGAATTCCAACCTCAGGGTCTCGGCATGCAGGCTGGGGACATGACTCAGTGGGTAAAGGACCCGAGTGTGGACTTCACGTTGTCCCCCATCTATATTGGTGTGCCATGGCACATGCATGCTCTCTGCTGCCCTTGGGCAAGATAAAATAAACAAAATTTTAATTAAGAAATACACTCTTGGGCTGGAGAGATGGCTCAGCGGTTAAGAGCATTGGCTGTTCTTGCAGAGGTCCTGAGTTCAAATCCCAGCACCTACATGGTGGCTCCCAACCATCTATAATGAGATCTGGTGCCCTCTTCTGGTATGCGGGCAAACATGCAGGCAGAACATTGTATACATAATAAATAATTAAATCTTTAAAAATAAAAAAGGAACACCGTCTGCTCTTCCAGAGGTCCTGAGTTCAGTTCCCAGCAACCACATGGTGGTAGCTCACGACCAACTATAAAGGGATCTGATGCCCTCTTTTGGCACGCAGAGCACTCCTACATTAAAAAAGAAGGTACATAAATGAATAAAAAATTTAAAGAAATACACTCTCTTCCAGGCCTCTGTACACAGGGACAGTTTCCCAAGTTGCAGCCCTTCCCATGATGGTTCATTTGGCGTCAGCTCTACCCGGGGTTCTGACAAAGTAGCTGGTAGAGTGGCTTCTGGAGAGCAGACATGGCCCTACCGCCCCACTGGGAGGCCCACCCCATGAAGAGGTCTCAGTTCCCACCCAGGGCGACTAGCTGGCAAAAGATATCTCGCTGGAGTCTCCTTCAGAGTGGAGAGGAAGTTGTTTCCTTGAGAACCTAGGAAGGGAAAAGCAGGAGGACACGGCTCAGGGGGGCGGTGAGCACAGCCCCTTCCGGGGTTGAGCTCAGTGGTCAGCCGTCCTCCGCCCCTGGTCCCGCAACTCACGCAGCGTCAGGTGGGTGACCACGCAGGCGAAGATGAAGGCCGTGAGGAACGAGAGGGAGAGCACGAACGCATAGAAGAAGCGGTAGTTTCGCCTCCCCACACAGTTGCCCACCCAAGGGCAGTGATGGTCAAACCGTTCTGGAAAGGGAAGGGGAGTCAGGGTGGGTCTCAGCCAGCACTGCGGCCGGCCCTCCCCCACCCCTCGCCCCCTCAACACCAGCTGACTCCTGCCCTTCCCTCAGACACACCCTGCTTCTAGTCCTCACTCATCAGTTCCCGCCCACCGCCTGACACATCCAACTGTCTATTCTGTGAGCTCCACAGTAACTCCTTCAGACGCCAACCACAAAGCCACTCCCTGTGGCCTCACACTCGGTAGGGATCCCGTCTCCTCCCGTATACAGCCTTGCCCAAGAGCAAGACGTGGTGGCCTCAGACCCCCTGGAATCTCCAGAGTCCAACAGAGTATCTTGTTCAAAGGCTGTACCAGCTACATGCCAACAGCTCTGGGCCTAAGGTACCTCATGCAGAGCTGGCGCCAGAGGCCAGGGCAGAGGACTGAGCTCATACCAGCGCTAAGTCCCTGAGGGTGGGAGTCACACCCTGGTGAGAAAGTCCTTGTGGGAATCTGGGTCATGAGCCCGCTGCAAGCCTTATGCCAAAGGCTGGTGCCCTCTAAGGAGGTAGGTGGGGCAGACCGGCAGGGGTGAATAACACCCACTGAGTCACCCACTTCCCTGCTCTCCTCTCCAGGGAGTGCTGAGCTGGCACCATGAAGTCACTCCCCTGGGAACGACGCACTGTCACCGTGGCTCAGCTCGCTTGGGTGTCCTCTAGACTCTCCCTTATGACACCCTCCCAAGGGACCATCATGGGTCTTCATCAGGCTCAATCGACTCTGGGGAGCAGGATGGGGGGAACACACCAAACAGAGGAGGGTGGGGCGAGAGGCAACTTTCAGTTCTGGTCCATGCTCTCTACCTCATTTCTCCACAGCCTCACCCTCCCTGCCTTCTCTCTCCATTACATCATCCTCTGTCTTCCATGTTAGCGCTCTAGGCTTCTGGGACCATGAACCTACTAAGGAACCCCCAGAAGCTGGGAGACAAATGTCAGGGTTCAGGGTACACCAGCGCTGGGCCAACTGGCCTTCCTGCTCAGCCCTAGGTATCTCAGACGCTGCCTGCCTTTGCCCCACATGTGTGATTTCCTGCACCCAAGGCTCGGTCTCTGGAGGGGGAAGGGGCGCCCGTGCTCCGGGCCTCCCACTCACCCACACAGTTGTCACAGACACTGCAGTGTGAGGTCCGGGGTGGCCGGAACATCTTACAGGTGAAGCAGTACTTCAACTTCACCACCTGTCCATTGATCATCACCTCCCGGGTCCTCGGGGGCGGTCGGTACGTGGAGCTGCCTGTGTTATCTGAGGGGGGAAGAGAGAAGACAGGGTAGCACGACCACTGTGGGTGGGAGGCCAAGGCTGCCTGGCTGGGACAGGGGGCACCTCAGGGAGAGTGTGCCCAGGGGAGGCGGGGAGGGACAGCAGGGGCAAACAGGAAGAGCCCAGCACTCCCTTCGGGGCCCACACCGCACACAGCTGGTCTTCACGCTGAGAAGGGTCATCAGGGACAGAGTTGTAGGAAGGGTTAGGAAGGCGACAGATGCATCTGATTAAGCCTAGATCCGACCTCTCATACACAGGAACTTTACAGTTAAAGGGACAAGATGGACCCCCCGGGGAAGCCATCGGATCTAGAGCCCTGACATCTGCAGAGCACTGGCCTGACCTCTCTCCAAAGGCAGTGTTAGCTCGAGAGCGGAGCTGCAGAGATGGCTCAGTGGTCCAGAGTGCTCCTGCTCTCCCAGAAGCCTGTCCCCAGCATCCAGGGCAGGTGAGTCTAGCTCACTTCTGGCAGTCACATGCACACCTCAACTCCCCTCACACAAAATTAAAAATAAAAACTCAACAAATAAAGAAGGTAACCAAAACACCAAAACGAATGTCAGAGCTAGACATGCCTGTAATCCTAAACACTGGGAAACAGCAGTAACACCGAGTTCAAGGCCATCTTAGACTACAATGTCTCTCTCTCTTCTCCTCCTCTCTCTTTTTTAGAAAAATACATGTTTACTGACTACTCTACAAGACAGAAGTAGGAGACAGAACAACCTATTGCATCTACCCTTTTCTTTTTTTTTTTTTAAGATTTATTTATTTACTATGTGTTCTGCCTGCATGTGTGCCTGGAGGCCAGCAGAGGGCGTCATTGTAGATGGCTGTGAGCCACCAAGGGGTTGCTGGGATCTGAACTCAGGACCTCTGGAAGAGCAGCCAGTGCTCTTAACCTCTAAGACATCTCTCCAGCCCCACATCTGCCTTTTTCTTTTCTTTTATTTCAGAGACAGTGTTTCTCTGTGTAGCCTTGGCTGTCCTGGAACTCTATTTGTAGAGCAGATTGGCCTCAAACTCATAGAGATCTACCTGCCTCTGCCTCCCAAGTACTAGGATCAAAGGCATGTGTCACCACCACCTGGTACCTTTTTCTTCCTTTTTAAATTTTTATTCTATGTACAGTGGTATCTGACTGCATATATGTCTGTGTGAGGGTGTCAGATCTCCCAGAACAAGAGTTACAGGAACAGGAGCTGTCATGTAGGTGCTGGGAATTGAACCCAGGTCCTCTGGAAGAGCAGTCAGTGCTCTTAACTGCTGAGCCATCTCTCCAGCCCCTTCTTTCTTGCTTTTTCATAGAAGGAATAACAAGTTTACTCAAAGTCTGCAAATTCTACATGTTTTGTTGGATGAGTGATTCTAAGATGAACTCTCAGGATCTCAGTGTTCAGATCAAAAAAGTATGTAGCCAGCTGTGGTGGCACACCCATATAATCCTAGCACTAGGGAGGCAGAGGCAGGAGGTCTCTGTGAGTTCAAGGACAGCCTGGTCTACAAATCAAGTTCCAGGATAGCCAGGGATACACAGAGAAACCCTGTCTCAAAAAACAAAACCAACAACAAAAAGGCAGGGTCTCACTATGAGACTGGGAGGCTCTAGCCCAGTTACTTCTATTCTGATGTGGACTCTGAGGCCATGTGCATTCAGCTTGGGAGCACTCATCAACAGTGCTCCCGGCCATTGCGTCTACTGCAGAGTCTCCAGTTGAGCTGCTTACCTCCAGGCACTGGCGTCTGAGTGCTCACCAGAGTGCCAGGCACTGGTCCAGGTGCCAGCATGCACCGGGGAGGCGGGGAGGCGGGGAGGCGAACGATTCTGACCCCACCTCTCCACCCACCAAGGAGACTTTTACCTTGACCACATGACATTTAAAATGCAACTCAGCACCTGCACACTTCCTCTCTGCAACAGGAAGCAGGAAAGGGCAGGGCAGGGGTTAGGGACCTAAGAGTCAACTGACCACTGAGTGAGCCTTCGCTTTCTAGTTTGTAAAACAGAAACAAGTAGGATGGGAAGTAGAGTTTGATTCTTTCGGGGACAGGCTCTCGTATGGCCAGGCTGGCTTTAAACACACTGCGGAGCTGAGGACGATCCTGAGGGCTCTCACCTCTCACATGTGGAATTACAGATACGGAACTACCACATCTGGCTCTATGTGGTACTGGGGTCCGAACCCACAGCTTTATGATTGCTGGGCATGCATTCTACCAACTGAGTCAAATACAGTGCCCTCTTGGTTTTTGCTTGCTTGTTTGTTTTGGTTTTTTTCGAGACAGGGTTTCTCTGTGAGGTTGTGGCTGCCCTGAGCTCACTGTGTAGACCAGGCTGGCCTCCAACTCACAGAAATCCACCTGCCTCTGCCTCTGAAGGTGTGTGCCTCCACTGGCTGGCTCTGTTTGTTTTTAGAGACAGGGTATTACTACCGAGTTTAATTTGGTCTTAAACTTAAAATCCCCCTGTCCGACCTTCCTCAGGCAGACTTATCCCCTTTACTACTGACCAAAGCTCTAAAGGAAGACTATCTCCCTATAGTACAGCTAAGACTTGCTCAAAAGATTAAGTGACTTGCCCTAGGCTACACAGCACACAGCAAGGCCAGGATTTGAACCCAGGTTTCAAAATTCAGGTTTGAGATCCTTTAATACACATTAGTGTCACAGCGAGGTACCAGCTCAATGGTAGAGCACTTTCCTTGTGTTCAACTCCCTACATAAATTAATAAAAATTAATCCAGGTTCAAGTTGGGCACGCCCTCAGTCCCAGAGCTTGGGAGGTAGAAGCAGGAGAGTCATGAGTTCAAGATTACCCACATGGCTACATGGCAAATTTGAAGCTAACATGGACTACACAAAACTCTGTCTACCAGGTGCAGTGGTGCACGCCTGTAATCCCAGCACTCAGGAGGCAGAGGCAGGCAGACTCCTGCGAGTTCGAGGCCAGCCTGGTCTACCAAGTCAGGACAGCCAAGGCTACACAGGAAAACCCTGTCTCAAGAAAAAACAAAACAAAAACCACAAGAGAAGGGCTAGAGAAATGGCTCAGCAGTTAAGAGGACTCATTGCTCTTGCAAGGGACCTAAGTGCAAGCTGGGTGTGGTGGCCTACTGGGGAGGCAGAGCCAGATGGATTTCTGTGAGTTCAAGGCCAGCCTAGTCTACAAAGGGATTCCAGGACAGCTAGGACTGTTATAAGGAGAAGCCCTGTCTTCTCCTTACAAAACAAAACAAAAACAAGGGGGCTGGAGAGATGGCTCAGAGGTTAAGAACACTGGCTGTTCTTCCAAAGGTCCAGAGTTCAATTCCCAGCAACCAAATGGTGGCTCATGACCACCTATAATGAGACCTGCTGCCCTCTTCTGGCCTGCAGGCAAACATGCAGGCAGAACACTGTATACATAATCAATAAGTCTTTAAAAAAAACCCAAAAAACAAAAGGACCTATATTCAGTTCTCAGCACCCACCCTGAACAGCTCACAATGACCTGCAAACTCTTGAAAAACAAACAACCCCAAAACAAAAACAAACAAACAAAAACCAGTAAGATATAATAAAATTAAACAAACAAATTATTTAAATAGAATAGAATGGAGAGATGGCTGGAGAGATGGCTCAGGGGCTAAGAGCATTGGCTGTTCTGCCAAAGGTCAATTCCCAGCAACCACATGGCGCTCACAACCATCTCTAAGTTCTCCTAGCATCCGTGGTGGCTTATGATAGCCTCTAACTCCAGTCCCAGGAGATCCAGTGCCCTCTTCTCATCTCCATGGGCACTACACGCATATGGCGCCCAGACATACACGCAGGCAAAACATCCCTATAAAGAAAAGTTTGTTCTGGTTGCATGACTCAGACAAGGCTGGCTTCTGATCCTCTGGCTACAGCCTCTTCGGGAACAAACTCTTTGCTAAAGAGCATAGAGGGTGGTTGCTAAGAAATGTGTCCTGGCCTCAAGGATTGAGCTTCAGAGCTTTCTGCCATGACCCACTCTTCCCCAAGGAGGAAGACAGACGCCCACATGCTGCTGAGCGCCCTGGCCTTCGTGCCTTCCAAACAGGAAACTTGGAGGAAGTCATTTCAAGAAATGGGGCTCAGCCTCTCCCCACGAGTGTATGGCTGTGAGAAGCGAATGACTTTCATGACTCCCCACACCTCCTTCCTGTCTCAGGGGCCCCCCAGGAGCCTCCAAACCTTCAAAATAGCTGTTTTGGTCTGGGGCTGCCAATCGAAGCCAGTACTGGTGTGGAACACTCACCCCGGGAAGGCCTGGGCTACTGAGAAAGCTTTTCCTTTTGCAGTGCTAGGGATGGACCCCTAAGCCTCACGTGTTAGGCAGCTGTTCTACGTGGTCTCAGTTCTGGAGAAGGCTTAAGGAGGGAAGGCCCTGGCTGCCTGACACCCAACTGTCTCTACCGATGTTAACGATCTCCCAGCACCAGCTCAAGGTTAACGGTAAACCCATCTTCAAGCTCAGGGCACTGCAATTCCCACGTGACCACTCCCCATTCCCAGGGGCTGATGGTGGCCCTGCGACCTACCAGGTTTACTCCAAGTCCTGGGGATACAGGGGCTGACATAAATTTCTTTTAAAATACCTGGTCACGGGCTGGAGAGATGGCTTAGAGGTTAAGAACACTCGCTGTTCTTCCAAAGGTCCTGAGTTCAATTCCCAGCAACCACATGGTAGCTCACAACCATCTATAGTAAGATCTGGTATGCAGGCAGAATGTTGTATAAATAATAAATAAATCTTTAAAAGAAAAAAGATAAAATAAAATACCTGGTCACGTGTCATGTAAGGGCAGTTTCAAGAACTGCACCGTGGGGTCAGTAGCTGATACAGATGTCACAGAGAGTACAGATGTCACACAAACTGAGAAGGCTCTGATGACATTCAGTGGCATGATGTGGGGCCTTGATTACATACGGGGTTCGTCAGTGACTAAAGCATTGTTCTGCAACATAAGACTGTATTTAAAAGTGACTTTATCTTTCGGGAGGGGCTACACAGGGCCTCAGTCTGGTGGTCTGGAACTTACTATGCAGGCTGGTCGCATAAAAAAGTGAACTATTTAAAGGAAAACACTAAAAAAAAAAAGAAAAAAAAAGGATGGGAGGTGCTGGAGAGACGGATGGCTCGGAGGTTAAGAGCATTTGTTGTTAGTCTTGCAGAGGACTTGGATTCAGTTCCCTGCACTCACACAGTCACTCATAACCACACATAACTCAAGTTCTAGGGATCCAATGACTTCTGATACCTGCAGACACCAGGAATGCACACGGATGGTGAACATACACACACACATACATACATACATACATACATACATACATACATACATACATACATACACACATACAGGCAGGCAAAACACTCAAAAATTTTACAAATGAAAAATAAAATGTTTTTGTTTTTCAAGATAGGTTTCTCTTTATAGCCCTGGCTGTCCTGGAACTCTGTAGACCAGGCTGGTCTCGAACTCAGAGATCCACCTGCCTCTGCTTCCTGAGTGGTAGGATCACAGGCGCGCACCACCCCTGACTAACAATAGGATGGGAGTGAGGTGGGCTAGGAAAGGCAAGCAATATACCAGACGGACTCAGACCCCAGCTCAGCAGGAATGGGAGCGCCCAGGAGAGGGAGGGAACGGGGCAAGCTAAGGCCCAGCCCTGAGGTCCCACAGGGCTGAGGTCTGGGGAGGGGGAGGAGATGGAGGAGGGCATAGCTTGGTTTATATATTAAGTCCAAACTTATCTAGTCCAGATATACAGGGAGACCCTAGTTCAAACTATCCAACTGACAAAAGAAAAAAGAGAAAGGAAGGCAGAACTGAGAAGGGTCAAAGTCAAGCAAGCTGAGTTCCAGTGACTGCTCCTCAGGAAAGCAAGCTGAGGCTGCTAGGGAGTCCCCAAAACTTCTCTAACGTCCCCAGTGCAGCAAGGAGCGCTTCCGGGAAGCTCCCACTCCCTGGCCATCCTTCCAACCCTCCTTTCTTTAGCTAACACCACTAAGCTTCCTACAAAATGATAAGGAGAAGTGGACACCATGCCCTCCCCTCCCCTCCATGTACACTCCAGGGAAGAACAATTTCATCATGGCGTCCACGAAGCCCAGGAACAGAAAAGGAAGAAGTCGTGTTTGGGTGTGTCATAGGAGGTCTGGCCCAGGACACAGGATGTTAAAATGGAGATGTAAGGATGGAAGGGCCATGTCCTGTTCCCACCCCGAAACTCAAAGCCTTGAGTGTGGGAAGAGGGTACCTTCTCCCTCCTTTCCCTTCACCCTGGGCCCTGGGAGTCTCTCTTGGCACATCTGGCCAATGGGATCACCCTCCGCAGATGTGAAACTCTGTGGGGATAACAGGACTGTACTGGACACACAGCCAAGCTCTGCCCAGACATGGGGATTACTGCTCATACTGGCCAAGCTGCTCAGAGGCCAGGGGATTCCAGGCAGCCGGTCTGGCTGAGCAGCACAATAATCCTGGGTCAGGATCAGCCCTGCTTGAAGGGAAGGTGAACCCAGTGGCTGCTTTGCAGCCTGGGTCACACACTAAGAGGCCAGAGGGCAGAGCAAAGGGGAAGACCATGGGTGTGGCTGCCCCGCCCTACCTCCCACCCCCCTCTTGGGCTGAGGAGGCAATGAAGAACTGGCAAAGCTGACAGGTGCCCTCTCCTGGGCCCTGCTGAGCTTGAGCTGCTCCAGAGGCAGCAAAATGATTCCTGGGGATAGACCTGGGCTCTGACATTTACAGATCCCTAGATCTCCCCATGCCAGCTAGGCGCTTAAAAGCCTGAGTAAACGCTGCCTTCTTAGGGCAAGGAGCCAACCATGACCGGAAACCCTGGAGGTGTGCAAACATCCGAGTCACTTCTCAGCAGGAAGGAGCCGGGGTGGGGCCAGCTGAGATGAAGGTCCGGGCCCGGGGCACAGATCTCTCCTTTGGGTAGAATAAAGGGCTAGCTGCTTAGAGGCCTGGGCAGGCAGCTCTTCCTGGACACACAGCCTCTCCCCATCCACGCTTTTGCCTCAGTGGACAGACCCTTTTCTTCCTGCCCCAGCGTCCAGGGCTTCTCCTGACCTCCTAGGCCAAGCTAGCCCATGCCCTGTGCTTCGGCACCCCTTGCCTGTTCCCCGGCCCTAGCTGGTGCCTCTGCTCTGACTCCACCTCTGTCATGGTCCTCCCCTAGTCCCTCGTCTCTTCCCTAACATCCTATTTATTTGTTTACCATCTTCCTAGTACCCTGGCATGTCACCTCAACCTCCATGGGGACAGAGATTATTGTCAGTTTCCTTCATCCCTCTGTCACCAGCATCTGGACTCACTCATGGCACACAGCAGGGGCTCAATAAACTAATAAACTTTTCATGACTGAATAAATAAAGAATACAAAAACATCTAGCCAAGCTGGGGGGGGGGGGGTGCACGCTCATAATCCCAGCACGTAGGAAGACGGAAACAGATCAGAAATGAAGGCATCTTCAGCTGCACAGTGAGTTCAAAGCCAGCCTAGACTACGTGTGTGAGCCCTGGTCTGAAAAAAAAAAAAAGAGCATCTCAGTTCTTGCACGTCCTGTGTGATCTTTGTTTATTTATTTTTGTTTTGTTTTTTTTCTGAGACGGGGTCTTGCTCTGGCTGTCCTGGAACTTGCTCCGTAGACCAGGCTGTCCTCAGACTCAGAGATCCGCCTGCCTCTGCCCCCCGAGTGCTGGGATCACAGGTGTGTGTCACCACTTCCCTGCTTCAGTTGTGTGATCTTGAACCATGTGCTTAACCTCTCTGCGTCTCATTTAGAGTCACAGAACTGACCTCACTGGCTTATGGCTTTAACGCATTGCCTGGCACCCTGGCAGCACTCAGCTCCGCGCTGGCCGCCAGTGTTCCTTGTTCAGTTATTTGCCTGCTTGCTCACTGCCTGTCTCCCCGTTCTCACAGCGTCAGCTCCGGCCTGCCCTGCTCACTGCTATACTCGAAATTCCCAGCAAAGCACTGTAGGAGAGAACCAGTCCTCGCACATCTGGGAACGTGGAACTGGGAGCTCCAGCACGGGCTGAGAGCGAGTGCCTCACCGATCTGCTTCTCCAGGGCGGCTGCCTCGCAGACAGTGGCCCTCGGGAGGATGCCAGGGTCGGTGAAGCTGGTCTGCAGGAGGCAGCTCATGACGAAGAAGAAGAGGATGGCCGCGATGATGGGGATGGCCAGGGTCAGGTGGCCGGCCAGGTAGGGACAGCTAGGAGAGAAGAGAGTTCAGATTACCCCAGGGCTGCCTGGCATTGCCCCGATACCGCATTCTTGAAAAGAGCCTTCCCTGAAGTACGGCTGGAGGCTGGTGCAGCCGCTCCCTGTGGGCGCCCGGGGCAGACATTTCTAGTCAGTCCTGGACTTTTTCCAGTGGCAGATGAGATGAGAGCTAAGATACGCTCCCCACCTCACCCTGGCAGGCAGGCAGGCCTCCCTCCCTCCCCTTCCTTCCTTCCTTCCTTCCTTCCTTCCTTCCTTCCTTCCTTCCTCCTTTCCCTCCCTCCCTCCCTCCCCTTCCTTCCTTCCTTCCTTCCTTCCTTCCTTCCTTCCTTCCTTTCTTCCTTCCTTTCTTCCTTCCTTCCTCCATTCCTCCCTCCCTCCTTCCCCCCTCCCTTCCTTCTTACAGAAACTTGCCAGTTAGCCCAAACTGGCTTGAAACCCTCTAGGTAGCCCAGGCTAGCCTTGAACTCTTGATTTTTCTGCCTCCACCTACTGAATACACGTTTGTTTGTTTTTGGTGGTAGCACACAACTGTATTCCCAGCACCCAAAAGGCCCAAGCAGGAAAATCAGGAGTTCAAGGCCATCCTTGCTACATAGTGAGTTGAAGGCCAAGTTATATGGATTATATGAAACTCTGTCTCAAAAATGCAACAAAACAAACAACAAACAAAAAAACCAAATAACAAAAACAGGCCAGTGAGATGTTTTAGCATGTAAAAGTGTTATCAAACTTGATGGCCTGCATTTGGTCCTGGAGCCCACGTGACGAAAGGGGAAAAATGACTCTCATAAGGGGTCCTCTGACCTTCACAGTTATACTATGGCGCACACATATACAAAATAAATGAAATGTAATTAAAAACTAGAGACAGACAGACACAGAGATGCAAACAGAAAGGCAGGGGCTCCCTGGGCTGTCTCTGAACTGGACTCAAGCACCTTCCCTACCCCAGCCCCACCGAGAACTAGGACTGCATGTGACATACCACCTGTGTCCAGCCCAGTACCCAGCATTAAAAAAAAAAAAAAATTACTATCGCAGCATTTTCTGTGCATGGGTGTTTTGCCTGCATGTCTATCTGTGTACCATGCTCGTGCCTGGTGCTTGAAGAGGCCAGAAAAAGGTTGGACGCTATGGAATGAGAGTTAGAGATGGTTGTGAGCCATCATATGGGTAATAGGAATTGAACCCAGATCCTCCACAAGAGCAGCCGGTGCTTTTAGGCACCGAGCCAACTCTCCAGATCCCAGTGCTTAGCTGCAGCCTCAGAATCCCATTAGCTCGGAGCTTGAGGAAGCCACTACCAAATTAAGGCACCCGTGGCAATGTTGCAGTGTTGGTACATTCATTCATTCATTCATTCATTCATTCATTCATTCAGTTGCTCCACAAATATTTTCCTGAGGTTGTTTTTTTTTTTTTTTTTTTTTTTTTTTGGTGCCAGTCAACACTCTCAATAAACAGCAGGAACTGAATAATGGCTATGGGTACGGCAAGAGTCCCTCTGCCCTGCGGCTTACGGCCGACTTCGGAACAGAGCCTAGTAAACAGGGAGCAGCCTGCCACACAGGGTGATGTGTGCTGCAGACAGAGAACGGCCCGTAAAGGAGATGGTACTGCAGCCAAACACGGAAGAATGAGCAGATGGATGGGGAAAACCGCGTGGGCCATTTCAGGGCTGCAGTGTTCTGGAGGTACTGGCTGGTGGTGGGGACCTGGCTTCGGGGGGAAGTAAAGCTTTCAGGCGCTCATGGCCAGTCTTCTTTGCTGCCGTACCGTCCATTCCAGAGCCACAGCCACTTTCTGCATTTGTGAATCAGATGTTGTCATTTCCTTGCTAAATGCTCTCGATGGCTTTGACTGGAATCCAAACTCTAACCCTCCTGTCAGGCCAGCCATGCCCTAAGCTTTACTGAGGTCTTCCCAGACATCCTACAGTGCTCTCCTCTCCCCTTCTGCTGGCGCCACACGGGCCTCCTGGAAATTCCCACACAGTCACTCTTTCACTTTCTCTGGAATATTCTTCCTCCCTCGGAGGAGCTTCCCAGACTGTTTTCTGTATAGCATTTATTTCAAACATTAGCTCGGGGCTAGAGACTGTGGCTCAGTGATTAGGAACACTTGCTGCTCTTGCAGAAGACCTGCGTTCAGCTCCCAGCACCCAGATGTTGGCTCACAACCAGCCTTAATCCCAGGTCCAGGGACTCCAAAGCCCTCTTATGAACTCCGCACACAGTGACTATGAATATACACGAATATACATACATATATGTATATGCAGAAAACATTCAAACACATAAAATAAGCTAAAAAATATAAGTTAATTTAGGGTATGGTAACCCACCTTTAAACCCAGCACTCTGAAGGCAGAAGCAGCCAGGGCCCTGTGAATTTCTCAATTCAAGGCCAGGTTGGTCTATACACAGAGTTCTAGGCTAGCCAGGACTACAGAGCAAGATCCTGCCTAAAACAAAAACAAAACAACAACAAACCACCTGCTTGTTTGTGAATATGCTGCCTGACGCATCCTGCTGAGCGACGAGCTTCTCTGTGGGCACAGCTAACACCGCTTGCATGTCACCCAGGAAATACCCCTCGAATGAAGGCTGTTCCCCTCACGGAGAGAGCAGCTACCACTCCACAGACGGAGACGGTCAGGGAGTTTAAACAACGCGGACAACACAGGTAAGGAGCATTCAAGTGACTGTGGGATTCATGGCACCAACCGCGGCCAGCTGCTGCCTTCCCACTGAAGCCAGGGAGGACAGGATGGGGGCTGCTGCCTGGGAGATGCATCTGTTTCCAGGCTTTGGACCAGCCAATGCTCCAGGGGTCCACAGAGGTAGGGAGCTAAACCAGGGCATTAGCTTCTGAACCCTAGAGAAGTCTTCCCTAAGGACTAGAGCCTGCAAAGCCAAGGGATCCAAGTGGACTGCCCCCCACCCCCGCTCCGCACATCTCGTCATGTCCAACCCTCCAACGGAACCAGCCAGGCTCTGGGTATCATGGCACAAGCCTGGGCCTGGGGAAGGAAGCCCAGGTCCTGTAAAGCCCTTGGGAAACACCAACACCAAGACGTAGGCCCTGATTTCCATTGCCAGATCTGCCCGCTCATTCATTCAACCAGCATTTGCTGTATCCCGGCTCTGGCTCTAGGCTCTAAAAACACAGCACAATGGAGATTTGCTATGCTCCTGCAGAAAAGACAGGCGTGAAATGACCAGGCAAGTATGTATATATATCGTACAGGTACAGGCAGACAGGGAAAAGACACGAGTGAACCACAAGGTGCTCCAAACAGCACAAGGAGCCTGAGGGGGTAGCGGGCCGGCAGGCCAGTGAGCTTGAGAGGGCAACTCAGCAGAGGAGGACTGAGCAGGAGGACTAAGGGGGAGCAGAGGCCACACAGGCCATTATCAGAGCGCTGGCTCTTACCTAGAGGTAGAACCAGGGAGCCTGAATTCTTCCTTTTTTTTTTTTTTTCCTTTCGGTTTTTCAAGACAGGGTTTCTCTATATAACCTTGGTTGTCCTGGACTCTCTGGGTAGACCCGACTGGCCTTGAACTCATAGCGACCCACCTGCCTGTGCCTCTCAAGTGCTGGGATTTAAGGCTTGTGCCACCAAGTCCAGCCTTAGGGGCCTGAACCCTGATGTGAAGGGACCGTGGCGGTGTGTGGACTGGGAAGCAGGGTAGAAGCTGGGAAGCCTGCTAGGAAATCATGTCACAGCCCGACGGAAGCAAAGCCACTTGGAGCTGGAGGCCTCCCCCAAGAGCTGCCGGTACCTTCCCCCGAGCGGCGGGGAGTGAGCATCTCAGCATCCTTGCCCTCACGAAGGGTGTGTCCACCACTCTAGCTCCTCTTTTGAGTCCTCTGAGCATCCCACCCAACACCCAGCAGGACCAAAAGTCACCACCCCAGTGAGAACAAGAGCTGGAAGCCAAGGTGACTGGTTTGCACTCCCTGAGCACAGGAACCCCCTTCCTGACTGGGTCATCACAGTACCACTGTGGAGAAACCCACCCAGAAGTTCAGACTCTGAAGCGCCTAAATATCTTACACTGGAGGGTCACAGGGCAACTACAGTCAGCATCACTTCCTCCTGCCTGGGCCATAACCCTGGGCGTGAACAACTTGGAGAGCGGACCAAGGGCTCAAAAAAAAAAAAAAAAAAAGCATTTCCACAGCGCCCAAAAGGCCATGGCAAAAACAAGGTGGAAACAAAACTTGGCCAGAGGTTCAAGCTGGGATGCCAGGGTTTCTCTGTGTAAGCCACCCTGAACCTTTCTCCATCCTGACCCGGGGAAAGGCAGCGCATTTTGGGGGAGGGTGAAAAGGAACAAGTCTCCACCTTGCAGTTGTAGATATATAATCCAGGTCCTGGGCAATTACTTGGGAACTGGTCTTTCAGAGCCTCATCATAACCACATGCCCTCGGGAAAGGGATTTTTGGTGAACACAGCCGTAATGACTGGCAAGGTCACATGCTAGAGACTTGCATGCAAAGGAATAAATGATAAATAAATTTGAAAAAAAAATGAAAGCTAAAAGCTTGACTGCGTGGCCGGGTACCAATTTCAACAGAACCTCTGGATGTGGGTACTATTCAAGTCCCCATTCTACAGATGAGGACGCTAAGGCCGGGAGGGGGGAAGCGACTGCCCTAAGCCACACAAATAGTGGGATGGGAGGTGGAGCTGGGATCTGGTCCAGGTCCCCTGGCTCCAGAGATGAAGTTCTTAACTAGACTGAAGAGTGAAGAGGCAGACCCTAAAGAGCAGCGGGAAGTAGGAGGGGAAGGTGGGGCTCACCCGGTGGGTGTGTGCGCCCGTGTGCGGACGTGCGTGTAAGGAGTCACATGGCAGGTGGTTCCGGACGGAGGTTGGGGTGGTAACTTGGGACACATGAGCGGCGGAGAAAGCCATTAAAGCAGTCACTCCTCCATCCTTCTGTCCTAAGATGGAGATAGGGGGTAGGTCACAGCAAAGCTGGTCAGAAGCCCAGAAGGGCAAATAAGACCTGTCCTGCGAAAGCACTCAGGTCTCTTTCGTGAAAAGGAGTGGTGGGGAATCTCCAGAGTGTCCAGAGGGGAAAGAGAGCCAGGTCAGGGTGGGAGAGGCACCTGGAGGACCAGGGAGCTAAGAGAAGGTCAGGAAGACGCTTTGGAGAAAGTAAGGAAAGTGCTGGAGAGGGAAGGGCCAGTCTGAGAGGCCCAAAGATGCTTCAGAGAGGATTGCCCCGGGCCCAAGGGTGAGCATGACTGAGGGAAAGCAGGGGTGAGGGGTGTGGGGAGACAGTCTGAGGGAGCCAGGATCCTGCAGAACCATGGAGGGGCCTGAGAAGACGCCTAGGAAATTTGTGATAGGGTGTCCACAGCTAAAGGACACAAAAACTTAGTTGTCTGAGGATAGGAATGAAAGATGCCTAGAGGGGTCAGAAGGTGCCTGGGATAGGCAAGAACCGGCCAGGGATAGGAGAGCAGGCGGACCTGAGGGACCCAGCAAGGGCCGGACACCCAAAGTCCGGGTGGCGAGGAGGGGTGCGGGGGGGTCCAGGGCGGACGGAGGCCGGAGGACACACGGAGATGCGGGCGGAGAAGGAGAGGCGGCCGCGGCCGCAGCGCAGGGCCGGGGGGAGGGAGGAGGGGCGCGGACGCGAACTCACTCGAAGACGAAGAAGAGGACGGTGGTGCTGAGGATGAGCAGCAGCGTGAGCGCGAAGACGCCGCCGTGGCCGGCCAGCATGAGGCGGCCGCCGCAGTAGAAGCGGTTGCGGCCCGGGAACACCTCCCACTTACGCCGCGGCCGGCGGCCCAGGCTCCC